GGCAGGTCGTGTTCCTCGCACTCGCACTTGAACGATCTCCACGCACGGCGCAAGGTCGCGCCCATATAAATCCATAATTGCGTGCGGCCAGCGACGTTGCACTTGCCGCTGCTCGAACCACCGCACCGCAGTGTGCTTGCCTAGACGCAGCAAAGGCGAACATCAATCGCTACAGATTTGTACTACGGCATAGTATGGCTCGACGACGGGCGCATATAAATACTCTAGGCTCCACCGAAAGCACCCTACTTGTAATACGTGGAGGGCCGTTGGAGGAGCCGAGAGTCTCGGTCGCGGGGCCGGAAGAGCGACCGGATAAACTTGGAGACGGGCGTGAACCACTTGGCGTCGTTGTGGCGGCCCGTCTCGACGACCGACGCGGTTCGCCGGCGCCGGCGACGACTCCCGAGGGTCTCGGTCGTGCTGCTGCTGCACGTGGTGTCGGATGCCGACTTGGTTGTCGCGTCACCGCTACACTTGGCGTCGTGCGTTTGCGAGATCGGGTCGTAGAGGTACGAGAGGTCGAGCATGATGGACGTCCGCGTTGTGCAGACGCCCGACCAGCGCGTGTCCGAGGCGTCAAAGAGCATGACGCCGGCGCTCTCGCGGGCCGACGTGGTCTCTTGCATGGTTCCAATTCGTAAATACCAGGTTACTGCAAGCGGCAATCACTGTGGCCAGTCGGCGGCGATGCCATTATTCTGGTCAGCCGGTCGGTCGTGGGTTGTCTGGAACGTGGGGTTCGATTCCTACCAGTACCTCTACGATATGATATGCTTCGAAAGACTATTCTTCGTACTCCACAAAAATATGGAACGGATGCACAAGAAACCTGAACGAATGAATACCTTCTTTCAACGCATAGAAACCAAGTTGAAACCCGTGGGATCGGTTCAGAGCCGCGCCACTCGCACCAAGCGCCGTTGAAGCGAGCACGAACGGCGACGCTTGGAGATATTGGCACTTTAACGTTGCAGTTGGTCCTCATTGTATGCGAATAGACGCATTTGACCGTGTGCTTGCTCTGCGACCACGTGGCAGGCTGCCACGGCCGCGCATACGATCTCGAGTCCAACGGCCGAGCGACATTCCGTTGCCGATATGCACCAAGGCATGTGTCCTCCACATCAGTGACCGACCACGAAGACGCAGAGCCGTCTACCGTTGCACCGCTCTGTAATCCTACGGCGAGTAATACCGTGCAACTTCCCGGCCAGTACGACGAGTTGGGTGGCGAGTCGTCCAGAAGAATGCCGCGAGTGCGCTACCTGCCAGCACGACTACGGTGGTTCTCCCTCTCGTTTGAGCTCCCACTGCCTTCGAGCACCCAAGTTCGCCTCCAGAGAGCTCGTTCGGCTCGCGAACGATTGTGCTGAGGCAGCGGGAGCATTATGTAGTTCCGGATGTATATGCACCTTCGTCCAGAACGTGGCGCCACCCTGATCGTCGGAGTGACGCCAGTACATTCCTCGCCTGTACGTCTGCAGCAAGGTGGCATACTCGGGTGATACCTAGGGCTCCCCAGTAGCGAGCACGAAGTACAATACTCTCGTTCAAGCGTTTATGCAGTCGCGCTACGTGTGCAAGGGAGTTGCGTCCTGCGTTTCTCGCCGACTTGATTGCAACACAATCACGCTTGGTTGATTTCTATCAAGTGCCATCAACACGACTACCGTCAGTGTACATGTAATAGTCTGTTGCATTACCTATTCGATCGGAAGTCATAGCCGATGCACGTGCTATCGAGCTACAACACCGCAGACTTGGCCACGCGAGACGACTTGCTCCGAGGGGCGAGGCCCCTCACAACGCAAGGCGCCAGCTCCAGGCCCTCAGTGCATGAGTAGGCGGCTGACAAAGGCCGGCACCGAGTGGAAGCGGTATACAAGAGGACTTCGAGTATATAGCGTTGTGTGTTGCAAGTCCTGGAATGACGGGTGCGGACTCATCTGGGTTGCGCTGAAGACCGTGCGAATTTCTCCAGAAGAGTTCAGAGCTGACAACGGCCCACCTGGGTCATCACACCACGATTTCCACGGTCGTGTGCACCTACTCATCGCCACGAATCATCGAGCGCACCATGAGGAGGGTCCAAACCACGTTGGTGTTTCGTCATGCATGTGCACGGCATCTCATCCCGCGCACCTGGTCCTTCCTGTCGAGTCATCCGAGGCTGCGACTGGACACGGCTAATGACATTGCACTTATGGTATCGCAACCTGTGCACGTTGTGACAGACTCGCACCCAAATATCTTCCACGTGTCATGTCGGCCTCGCCATCATCAATCCGGCATCGTCCCATGGGTTTTTCACACAACACACGCGTGGTTTATTCGGCGAGCGCCGACAACTTGTCTGATCTGACGGCATCCCTTGCTTCGCGAAACATCGCCCAGCGTTTGTCTTTCCATGGACATTGAGAGAATAGATTTGCGCGAAAAGGCCAGCATCCAGCTATCTCCTTCGAAACTCGTACTGGTAGAAGCGAGATCGAAGAATGGGCCAGATTGATGCATCGAGCTCCGAGGCAGTTGACCGTTTTGAACTTGGAGCTAGCCTTCGTGGCCGTGCTAGCAAGTACGATTGGAAATGAGATGGCAGTACCTGGATTCCTTGTTTGGACTCTGGCTTCATAAAAACGAAGTCGTCGACATTGTGAATGCGTTCGACGAGCGCATGCAGACACAGGGCAACATGCTTCAAGCCATGCTTCAAGTCTTGCTTGTACAGTGCCGTTGTAATACACGGAGAACTCCATCAGGTGTGAAAGGCGCGTATTTTTCACCCGCTTGTCCCAGCAACGTGTACACACCTGGACAAGGCAACGACAAACCAGATTGCAGCTCGTCGATCGTCAACGGGACACGCACTTTTCGCTGGCTCTGGTGCATTGCGTAATTCGCGCCGACATGCGTACGAGTACCAAGTCGGGTCGCATGAAGAAGGTCGCGTCGCGTAAGAAGATCATCCTCTTCCACCCGGACGACATCACAACCAAGGACACGTACGCCGGCGTCGACCTCGAGCACCTCTACGACCTCACCATGTCGTCCCGCGCGGCCGTGGCCGCCCCGGCGCCGCACCGCGTGAGCCACTGCGCGACCGACGTCATGGACGACGAGAGCAGCTACCACGTTCCGTCCATGTGCCAGGAC